TTTATCCGAAAGTCCACAAGACGCCGACAAGAAAAGGTCAGGGAGGCACCACCTGCACAACTACGTTTGGAAAAAGATGCGTTGAAACGAAAGGGCGCCAAAAGGGGCGCCAATGACATTACAAATGCACCGAGTAGAAACTGAAAGATATGTTTCGGTGAAAGGGCACCAATGACATTACAAATGCAGAGTACTTAAGTGCAATTGTGTTGTGCCAAATCCCAAACAAGTCATTGCATGAAAGGTCTGCCTTTTGTATTGCAAGGTGACTTGGCTTAGTGGTTAAGGTGGGAGGTGTACTTAGTGTATATAAGTATGCCCTGGGTTCGAATCCCAACAAGTCATTGCATGGCGACTACCTGGTTTTTTTCAAGTTCAATTGTGTTGTGCCAAGTGCCATGTCTGGGCCCAGATTGTGACGGCTGGAGACTGGGTAGTCAACATGTCAATGGAGAATTTCTTAGTAACTGGTTACGTTTAAATGACAGGGGCGCCGAACAAAAAGGGCGCCAATGACATTCGAAGGATAGTTGAAACGACAGGGGTGCCGAAACAACTTAGGCGCGCCCATGACATGGCTAAGTGAAAGATCTCAAGTAGAAACAACTGTTCAAGACTTCGATTCAATGTTCAGTATAAAAACAAATGATTTAGTTGTCATCTTGACCCTCTCCCTTGGGCACCGCAGCACGAATACTCTTCCGAGCATCCTGAAGCTCCAACTCCGCGAGTTCCAGGCCCCTGAGGTGCATTTCAAGTCGGTACAACTCCTCGTGTTTTTGACGGCGCAGCAGCTCCAATACTTGTTGGGGGTCCCTACACCGGGAAAGTAGGTTGAGAGCAGATTTGAGCCACTCTTGGCGGTGCTTCACCCCATGACCATCCTAATAAAGTGAGGTCAGTAAGAAAATTGTAGTCAGAATGGCTGACCTTGTTTCTGGGAAACTCTTCACATTGTTGCCTTACCGAATCAGGATCAGCCCAGATGTATTCAAAGTTGTCTAACTGAGGGATGAGCGAAGGCGCACCACTGTGACTGGAGGATGCCTCAGGCACAGGGAGTGTTGGTCGGGTCATGTTTCTTGAGGTGGGATCGGGGCCTGGAAGGGGTGGTCGGGTCATATTCCGTTGCTTGTTGGGCATTGCATCTGTTG